ATCACTGTGCCTCTGTTTTAAATGTAGTAAGAGCCCAGCGACTCTTGTTGCACTTAAAATGCAGAGCCTCAGCGTGAGTGGCTCTGGAGCCAGCATGAGCCAGGATTGGTCAGTCCCAGATGGAGTCAGCTCTGCAGAGATGCTTATCGACTTATTGTATAGTCGATACAAATTATATTGGCAATACGATTAGCCAAATAATTGCATTTTAACATCCATAGTGCACATTCCTTCTGTCTTGCTACTTTTCAAATCTTTGCAACGTTGACTACTTACCTGGGAAGAATTGTTTGTTTTACTTTGTCCTTTCAGTCACAATAAGTTTTCTGCCACTTGTTTCAACAGTAGTCATCGTGTGTCAGATAAAATTCTAGAGTGAAAGCTGGCCTCATTAGCTTAGTATCAACCATTAGCTTTCACATTTACTGTGATTTGAATGTGCAATAGCCACTGGATGAATTCAATACTGAAAAAAAAAAGTTGCCAGATTTATGTAGAACTGTATCAGCTGCTCTACGGAGACTTGTATAGCTAATACCAAACTAGAATTTTCTTCTAATATTTTAGAATGTTTTTACTTAGATTAGTGTTAGAAATGTAGCCGTGTTAGTCTGGTGTAGCTGAAACAAAATACAGGACTATGTAGCACTTTAAAGACTAACAAGATGGTTTATTAGGTGATGAGCTTTCGTGGGCCAGACCCACTTCCTCAGATCAAATACAGTAGTGGAAGAAAATTGTCTCAACCATATATACCAAAGGATACAATTATATGTGTGTATACACAGACATATAATTGTATCCTTTGGTGTATATGGTTGTGACAATTTTCTTCCACTATTTGATCTGAGGAAGTGGGTCTGGCCCACGAAAGCTCATCACCTAATAAACCATCTTGTTAGTCTTTAAAGTGCTACATAGTCCTGTTTTTTACTTAGATTGAAAATTGAAGCCTAATTATGTTAGTGTTTTAAAAACAAAATAACAACAAAAACCTTATTTTAAATATTGGCTATATTCATAAATGAATGGGGAAAATACAAGTAGTTTCCCTAAAAACTCACTTAAGTTGGTCTCCTCACATTGCACTTGCTCTCTATAAAACTCGTTTTATACCTTCTTGATGTTACTTCCACAGGCCTGATCTAGTTCTTGCACAATGCTGAATTAGTATTGTGCTAATTCAGCATTTACTCTGAGTAGATATGGATAAGAAAGAAAGGGCTGCAATACGTATGGGAATGAAAGTTCTTAGAACTCTGGAGTAACTTAGTTTTATTCTTTAAATTTTTTTTAAAAAATAGCAATTGAGTAGTGTGTAGTCCTTGGACTGTTTGATATATAAACATTTTGGTTGGCTTCAGTTCAAAGCTGTGGTGGTGGCATTCAAGTGCACTTTACTCTGGATGGAATAAATACTATTTATAATGGCTTTCTAATTAAAATCTACTACACAATACTTTCAAAATCTGTATATTCTAGCCAGTTAGTACTAGGGCTGTAAAAGTGTAGTCATGTTGACTACTCACATTCTTTCCTCCCTGCCCACACACCTTGCTGCCTCCTATATCAGAGGTAGTAAGGAGGGTGGGGGGAAGCAGGAGCTTAAAAGCTGGTTTCCCCCAGGACCGTTTCCCTGGGAAGCAGGGAAGGCAGTGGTACTGTGGCTCTGCCTTTTAAATGTAATAGGAACTGGATTGCTGCTTGCCTGGCTCCTACAGCATTTAAACTGCAGAGCCACAGTGAGGGGTAGCGAGCAGCCCCCATCAACTAATTGAGTAGTTAATGGAAATTCCATTGACTGCTCGATTAGCTGATTAATTGCAGTTTAACCTCTCTACTTAGTACAATGCAGCTGCTACCTTTTGTCAGAGATTTAGTCATAGAAATGTCACTTTTTCTTTCCCTCTTCAAGACTAAAACTAAATAGGTTTTCAGGTTTCTATTGCTTAATTATTTGTGGTGCCACTAAAAGTTTGACAGGGTTTATCAGTATGTTTAAGATTTGATTCCACGTAGCTCTAAATTAGTTCTTAGGTCCCTCTTTTTTTTGGTCAGTATCGCTTAGTTAATTACACTCCAATCTACACAAAGATTTGGACTAATTTTTAGTGCTGGCTACATAGAAGTGTTTATCTTTTGGATAAAACCTTAAACTGAAGAGTCTTTTTTTTCTGGTGACCAAATGGACTTTAAATATCCAAACATTCTTGTTAATAAAAGCAAATTAGGCTGTTCAAAGCTACATGTATGCTATGATAGAGAACAGCTACCCAACGCTGAACTGCACTGTGTGTTTTAGGATTAGATCCATAAGGCAACTGCTGGAGGATAGTGGCATGCTATCAGAATGAAGATTTAAATATGGGTTAGGCGGTCTACAATTTTTGATAGGAGTGCTACATGCACTGCTGAGTGTCCTAAAGCCTGTAGTGTCTATCCACTTATACAGAACAGAATGTATAACACATACTAAGCATGAGTGAACAGATTGTTAGTTTTGCCAAGATGGGCTGGCAGTATAGTATTGCAGAGTTATCCAGTCAGCAAAACTGCTGAATTTGAACTAAATGCTGTAGGAAGAAATATGTAAAGTACCATTCTCTGAGAGATCTTTACAATACAGTTCTGCTACTGCTGTTCAGATACTTGCTTGACTCTTACATCTTTCCATGTCCTTTATATCTTTCTTTTCTTGTGTTAGTGCCTTCTTTCATGTTGTCTGTTTTGCCCAAAATTCTCTCCCTCTTGTTGCACTAAGCTATCACGCTTCCTTTGTTCAAATCCCAAACGAAAACATTCTTAGTTCACTAATCCCATCAGTGTTAATCCACCAAAGAGAGTAGCAATGCTACATTTAGAAATGCATTTAAAATACCTTCATGGTTTCTGACTGTATCACTCTCCAAAATGATGTTTGAATTTATAATGTTCATTTAGAATGTGAGCTATTTGGAGCTGGAATAGTCTCCTCTGCTGTTGTGTACAGCACCAAACTCCCTGCTCAGATGATGATAATCTTTTGAATTGATCAGTTTAGATTTGGTAAAAAGTGTTCTCTATATTGTATTGACTATCTGGTGATTTTGGGTTAGTAGGATCTTGTGTTCAACTCCCTGAGAGTGAGAGCTAGCAAGATAGTCCTTCTAATGCAACATACTGCATGTTTTTGTGGAAAAGATACTGTCCTTTCTAGAACAGTTGATCCTTGGAATTGTTCCCCAGGTTAATCAAGCTTTCTTGTCTGAGAAGAGAGAGCTTTAATTACACATGTTAGAGATGGCACCTGTGTAGATGTACAAAGCCTGATGGGAAAAGGAACAAAAGTAGGATGGTGGTAGTATAGTACTTGTACACCCCATTACTATACTATCTGAATGAATTACAATCTTTAATCTAGTGCTGCATTCTGCAACATATCTGCCAGTGGCTGGGGTGTAAAGTCTAAAGTTCAGCAGCATGTGCACTAACAGACTTGCGTGGTCCCTTGCTGGCATGCACAAAAAGTACCCTACTTTTTGAGATGATCTATATCAACACACACTAGGGAACTTTTTAGAGCATGTCTACACTGTGTTTTAAAACTGATGACAGTCGGTCTAGAGCAGTGGATCTCAAGGTGTGGTCCACAGCCATCTTGATGGTGGGATGTAGGCTTGGGACTCTCCCCTTCCCCACATCAGGGAGCCTGTTTTAACACTTCAGTCCCATGGCCCCCCACGAGGTTGGAGCACCAGCGCCAGCTTCATGCTGCTGGGAGGCGGGGTGAGCCTTGTGGGCTGGATCCAGTTTGTGTGGGAAGGAAACTGCTTTGCATGCTGCTGCTGCTCCTCCTTCCAGCTGGGAGAATGGCAACATAGGAAACTGTTCACCTGGAGGCTTTCCCTGCTGCTCTCATTCATCAGAATCAAAGGCCAATGGGAGCAGCAGGGTGTGATGGTGATAGTGGTGTCTGAGAGAATGGAGCTAGGTATGCATCCCCCATCCCCTCTTACTCAGACCCTGCACCCTCACCCTTCCTCCCAGGCAGCCCCCCTTCCCCCTCAGCTGTACCATACCTCCCAGCCAGACCCTGCACTTCCACCTCCTCCTGCACCCATTTTGTCGTCATGGCTTGTGGTCCACAGAAAGGTCTGCTTTTAAGCAGGGTGGGCCACAGGCCAAAAAGTTCGAGACCCCCTGGTCTAGAGGCTTCAGCTATGCCATGGCACTAAAATCAGCTGTGTAGATGTTCAAGCTTGGGCTGAAACTTTGAAGCCTGGTGAGGAGAGGCAGGTTTCAGATCTGGAGCTCCAGCCTGAGCCTGAATGTCTACACAGTTTACTTTTAGCATTATAGCATGAATCAGAGTCTCTAGGCCTGGGGTCTGAGACTTGCTACAGATTTTGAAACAGCATAGACATACCCTGAGTTTGTACCAGCAGGGTCTACAAAGGCCAGTTAATGCAAAATATGCTGGAGCACATAAGAATTTACACGTTGGCTAGTGTGGACTAAGGCACCACGTAGCAAGTCCTAAATTGTAGCTTCATTGATCCTTGAGGCCTAGGGTCGAGAGACTTGATGGTCTCCTTTAAGATGGTAGTTGTTTGCATACCAGTTGAGAGAGAATGTTCTGTGAAACTGATGCTCCCAGCCTACCCTGGTTCTTCAGATATGGGATAGTTTAGTGTTAATCTTTATTTCTTATCTCCCACATGGTTGCATGATATGCCAAGTCACTGAGCCACCACGTGTGTGGTGGTGGTGTTGGAGTTTCCAGAATGCTGATTTTCCCTTTTACAGCAGAATTGGTGATAATTTTTCAGGGGAGGGGGGGGGGCACAAAACACCTATTTAGCAACTTTGCCACTTATGTAAACTTCAGATACATCCATCTTTCAGAAGAGAGGGTATCCTAAGACACATTAAACACAATTAATTTCTTTGCCTGCTTATCAGTTGTAATCTTAAATTGTAGACAGTTCAACACCCTCTAAAAGTGCAGTAAAACAGCTTTGTCTTTTCTTATCTTTATAGTAATGAATGTTATAACCATTGAAGACTATAAGAGCACATATTGGCCAAAGTTGGACAGTGCCATAGATCAGCTTTTAACCCAGAGTCCTGGTGACTACATCCCTATCTCCTATGAACAAATATACAGGTAAGGAAACCTTTAAACACAACATAGCTTCTTTTCAATTGAATGCATGTGTAAAAACCTCTCTTAAAGTTCAGCTGTCTTTGATTTTGTTTACTATATAAAGTGCAATCCATTTACCAGTGATGTGGTTAGAATGAGGAAAAATAAGCTGTCCAAATACCATTGCTTTTCCTGTCAAGGGGATTAAATCATATAGAAATAAATGCATTTTATGCTTCATGTTTTTAAATAAAAACCATGATCATCTTGAATCAGTGAAACTATAAAAATAACAGTGCGGCCTGTAGAATTTTGGTGTAAAATGCCATTAATTATGGCAGTTGAGGAAGGTGATATGGTAAGAAGTTGAGCGTATGCCTCAAGTGACCTTTTAGAGACTGTCTACACAGCAAGAACACCTTGGAGTCTGTCAGCTGATTTGGTCCTCCCTCTCCCCTTGCCTGGCTTCAGACTAGGCTTCAGCACAAGTCAAAATGCCTACTCTACTATATTGAGCTCTGCAGCACAAGCCTGAATCAGTTGGCTTGGCCCCTGAGTCTAATTGACATGTCTTTTTTGCTGTACAGACACATCCTTAAAAGCCTGATCCTGACTGGTTTTATTGGGTGAGGGCCTGTCTGAGGTATTCCTTTCAGTTCTGGTGTCCTATGTAGCCTGAGTACCTGCAACCCCTCACCCAGAGAAGTGGTCTCAAGGACTGCAGGGCCAAGGGGGCACAAGCAGGGCAGGGAGGCAACAGGGATCCGTCGTGCTCCTACATTCACTAATGGTGGTGACAAGTGGAATGACCTGGCCCCAGCCCGCTCCACTGCCCTGGCTCCCAGCTGTGTTGCTCAGGAGAGAGGACTTGTGGAAGGGGTGGAAACCCCTAGACTTGTGACAAGGGTGGAAACTAGTCACTTATCTGATAAGCATAAGCTTAGCGGATAGTCGGGTAGTGATTTGCTTCCCCGCTCCCCCCCCCTTTCTGCCTTTATCAGAGATAGGCAGTGGGGGGGAAGAGGGGAGCAGGAGCCAATGTTAAGGGGAGCTGGCTGAAAAGCTGGCTCTCCCCAGCACCATCTCTGAGGTGCCGCCTCAGTACGGACAAGCTTAGCACTCACCAGCTGACCTCTGATAAACAATTGAAATAATATATTAATGCATATAGCAAATCCAGACCGAGTTGTGTGTTTTCAGATAATTAGGTTTCCTGTTTAACTCTTTACTCTTTTAGAAATAGTTATAGGCAGGGCTTGACAAATGCACTCGCCCGCTTGCCCCTGGTGAGTAGATTTTTCCACCTGGTGAGTGCAGGGGCGGACTGGCCCAGTGGGCCATTGTGATGGGCTGGCCGAAGCCCGCACTACGGGCGGCGCAGCCCCATCTGATCTGCCAGCCGGCAGAGGAGCACAGTGCTGCTGGGAAGGGGGAAGTGCAGTGATTCTTCCTACCGGGCTGCCTGCGTGCAGCTCCGGCATGAGGAGGCGGGGCGGGATGCCAGGACGCTGGCGTGACCTGGCCCCGCTGATTTCCCTGAGAGCTGGCTGCAGTGCACGGCACAGCCAGGGCCCACCCCGCTGGCTCCAGTCCTGCCACGGCCCCAGTCCCCCTTTGTTTCCGCGCCGCCCATTCTCCACGCCTCCCCTGCACCCGGACCCCCTGCTCTCCCTCTTCTCCTTGCACCCTGCTCCCCCCAATCCCTGCCCCCCCACCTCTGTGCTGCCCATTCCCTGCACTGCCCCTAGACCCTGATCCCTCTGCCCCTCCCGTTCCCCGTGTCCCATTCTCCGTGCCTCCCCTGCACCCTGCTACCCCTGATCCCTGCATCCCTCTGTATCTGTGCTGTCCCTGCACCCTGCTTCCCCTGTGGGTCGGGAGTGAAGGGTTCTTGCCCATAGGGAGGGGCTGGACAGGCCAGGGAAAAGGCTGCTGTGACCCAGCAGTGAGTGAAAGGGGGAGTTGACTTGAAGCACCTTTGCCTTTATGGAAAAAAAGGAATGAAAATGCTATTTGTTATTTATAGGGCTAAAATGCCGAGACACAAAAGAAAACAATCCCCCCTCCCCCATTGCAAAATGCAAACATGTGTAAAAGACAACAACAAAGGGCGGGGAGGAGGGGCAAAGAAGTTTTGCTTGGGGCAGCAAAAAACCTAGAGCTGGCCCCCGGGCTGTGGGGACGGGAGGGGAGGGGAAAAATATGGGGAAGGGGCTTGTGCTGAGGGGAGGAGGTCAGGAGAAGAATAAGAAGAAGAAAGGGGAAGGCACCAAGGGACAGGGGTTCAGGAGAGACAAATGCCATGGGGCCAAGTGCAGGCAATGAGGAAAAGGGCAGGAGGGGAGGTGTCAATGGGAGTGGGGACAGGGTAATGCTGGGAGAGGAGAGGGTAAGGCCACTGGGGGCAAGAGGAGGAGGAGGAGGTGCTGCGAGAAGGCTTGAAAGAAGGGGTGGGCATGAGGAAGGCGGGGATGGAGCAAGGCATCTGTGAGGGCACAGGGGCATGAAGGGAACGGGGGCAGAGGGTGGTGAGGGGGTGGGTATCAGAGAAAAAGAGAGCAAAGGGGGCAGGGGCAGTGAGGAAAGGGGGAGGCACCAGGAGGGTGCAGGTGCCAAGGGATTCTTGGGGTGAAGCAGAAGGGCAGACACCTGCAGGGAAGGGACCAGCACCAGAGGAGAGAGGCAAGGCAGGTGTGTAGAGGGAGGATTTTAGAGAGGGGATAAGAAGGGGTAGCTCTCACAATCAGAGTGGGGCTACTGGAGGAGTGGGCACAGGGTGGAGAAAAGGGCTGGTGGAGGGGGGCAGTTCTCAGGTAGGCTGAGGGCAGTGAGAAAGGCAGGAGTCAGGACAGCATAGCGTGAGGGGTTGGGGGGCAGCAGGCACCAGGGAAGCTGATGGAGCAAGGGGAGGAGACATGGCAGCAGAGAAAAAAGGTAGAGGTTTATAAGATATTTATTAATAACCTGGATGATATTTATTAATAACTTATTAGTAATTACTGTTCTTATTCTTATTAGGAATTTATGCCATTAAAAAAACACTTTTTGTGGGGGAGGGTGGCGAGTCCCATTTTTGTCTGGTGAGTAGGGTTTTCCATAATTTGTCGACCCCTGGTTATAGGTTATAATCATAAAATGAATCTTATATTTTCTTAAGAAGCTAATCATAAGGATAAAGAATTGTACATTTCTCCCAAAAGATTTTAATCTCCGAATCAACAATTACTATTCAGATTATGATAGTGCTTACAGGTTCCAATAGAGATCAAAGCCTTCACATTTCTCAGAGTTTAGAAGCAAAATAGACAAGGTAGACCAAGTATAGGGAAAAGGAAGTATTTTTTTTTTATACTGAAAGAGAGATGAAGAGACTTGCTCAGTGTTACAGGGATTCAGTAAGAGTAGCAGGACTTGAACCCACATCTCTTTATCCCAGTCCAGCGCCTTAACCAGAAGACTGTTTTTTTTTTTTTTCCTCTCCTGACCTACAAATGGCTACACATTTTATCTTTCTTGCTTTCTGAGAAAAAGATGGAAAAACAAAGACCGTTTGGACTTTAAAACTTAAGGTTTATGAAATAAAGGAGTCAATTCTTCTCACACACAAAGTACTTTAGTAAAGTCTGCCTATACACTGAATATTTTTCCTGTATCCCTAAGGAGTAAAAATGAGAGACAATCAGTAAAGAGCATCTTTCAGAGGAAAAAAATCTGAGATAGATGGATAGGCTTTTCTTGCACTTTTTGTAAGATCTCTTTAAATTAGGGATGTAAAATCCCATTTAATTGGTTAACTGGCTAAATGTAATGTTTAACTGGTTAATCGATTAAAGGACGAACGCTTCAGCCCATGGGCTGGAGCAGCCTCCCCACCTGCCACGACCAGGCTGGAGCGGCCCCCCTGCCACGGACAGGGGATGGTTCAGCCTGGCCAGAAGCAGCCTCTGGCCATGGTGGGCCCTGAGAGGTTGGAGCAGCCTCCTGCCCATAATAGACAAGGAGCTGTTCCAGCCCCCACCGATTAACCTTTCTTATCCCTACTTCAAATCTAAATTCTAATTTTTTATTAGATCACCATTATACTACAGTAGATAATTTACAAATCTCAGATTATTTTCCATTGAGTTATCTTCTAATTGTTCTATTTGGGGAGTTGATAATATCTTCTTAAAGTGTTGGGACTGTGCCAAAAGAAATAACGTCTGGTAGAATTCTCTTTCAGCTTCCTTAGAGTAATATTAGAGCACTGATGACTCAGACTCAGACAGCAATCAGGAAGTGAGAACAGGATCTGAAAATGGGAAATAAATTCTAAAATAGAAGTGTTCAAATAAAAACTTAGACACACACCTACATGCATATACAAACATTGCTGCCTAACTACATCTGTTTGCTGTTTAACTACGTAATGGATTGCAGAAATTCAGGGCAGGAGTAGATCTAGAAGCAATTTAAAATACATACCTGCAGAATATCGTGTAGATCTGTTAAATTACATAGTTTCAAGTAAATCAATCCACTTCATTGATTGTGGAAATGACCATATATTGTGCTATGCCTGAACAAATAAATACCGCAGCCATGTGCTATCTTTATCCAAATGTTGAAGAGATTGGTTTTGCAATCCCATATCTCTTGATAAGCCTAATTACACTGTTTCTGACATTTAATGTATTTTTACCTGGTCCAGTCTTAGTACAGTTATTGCTTCATATAGACTTCATGCTAGAAGACTGATCTCATGCATATGGAGGAATCAACATGAGAAACTAAGAGGAGGAGACCTGATGGATAGGGAAATAGCAGTATAGGTGGCTATTAAAGGGGATGGACAAAATGTAGTACAAATTGTCATGGTATTTTGCAGTGTCTCTAAAGGAGTAGTTAGTCCAGAGTGGGCAATAATATGTGATGGGGGGGAGGGGGAGAGGTACTCCCAAGAATTTGAGAAGTGGTCAAGAGCTGCACTCTTCCATATCAGCAGAAGAGGTGTGGAGTCTGGGATGGAGGTTGGGTGCAAAGGGAGCTTGCAATAAGGAATTGTGATGTAGGAGAGTGAGTTTGGGTGAAGAAGGCAGTTGTGACCTAGCTTAGGGAACTAGGGTTCAGAGGTTTGCGTGTGACTTTGGGCAAGAGGGGGCTGTGACTTGGGGCAGGGGACGGGGTGCAGGATATGCGAAGGGATATTGTGGCAGAAGGGGAGCCGAGGGTTTGAGTTGTAGGGGGGCAAAGGGTTGGGGTGTCAGAGGCATGCTCTGGCTGGGAGACTTACCTGCTTGACTTCCAGCTAGCAGCCTTCTCAAGCAGACCCCCTGTGGAGGCTACAGCATGGCATTGAGGAGCCTGGGCACTGGCTGCACAGAGGTGGAATGTGATTGTGCCACTTCCCTCAGGACACAGTTTCAGTAGTGAAGCTACACTCAACGCAGCACAAGGACCAGACTTGCCTCAGAAACACCCCAGAGCTCTGTCCCTTGTGTCGTGCACCAGATGTGGGCAGGCTCAGCAAGGCAGGATCCAAGTGTGGAGAGGCTTGGTGTTGGGGCCTCCAGATGTGGGTTTGAGAGGGTTTTGGGGGGGGGGGCAGTCTGAGTGTGCAGGCAGCACAGTGGAGGATCCGAATGTAGGGGAGGGGGAATCTGGATGTACAGGGACTTGTTGAGAGGGGAGAGGCTTCTGGGTGCAATAGGAATGAAATTCCCTCTTGGAGTAGATGTAGTAGAGATTTTGGCCACTTCAGCAGAGAAGGTTGTTTATAGTTTGGCTTTAGCTTGTTATATATTTGCATTACAATAGCACCTAAAGATCTCACCTGGAATCTGAACTGCATAGTGCTTGGCACTATATTGACACACCGTAAGAGGCAGTCCATATTGTAAATTGTGTGCATTCTAAATCGATACAACAGACAAAATGTGGGGCAGAGAAATGAAGGCATAGTGAGGTGAAGTGACTTCCTCAAGGTTAGTGGCAGAGAAAGGAATAGGATTCAGTTTTCCAATCTGGTGCCGTATTCAATAGTCTGTTGTTTCTCTTCACTAGAAGGATTAGCAATAGAATTAACTTTCAAAGGAGCTTAAGTCACATAATTAAACAAATAAACAAGTTATATTAATATAATCTTTTGGGGGGAGGGTGGGATTGACTTTTAAAATCATTTGGTTTAAATCACCAAGTGGAAAGTCTTGATTAAAATCAATGATTTTAAACCACCTTTTCCATTTGTATGCTAGTTACTTTCAGAAAAGGGATGTATTCTTATTAGTTAATATAACCATACAAATATAGACTGGAAGGGACCTTGAGTTGTCATCTAGTTCAGTCCTTTGCACTCATGACAGGACTAAGGATTATCTAGACCAGGGGTGGGCAATAATTTTTGATGGGGGAGCCACTTCAAGAATTTGGAAAGTGGTAGAGGGCTGCACTCGTTCATGATATTAATGGAGGAGGTGCAGGGTCTGGGATGGAGGTTGGGTGCAGAAGGGAGCTTAGGGTAAGGGATTGGGGTACAGGAGGGAATATGGGGTCTAGGGGTGAGTTTGGGTAAAGGAGGAGGTTGTGACCTGGGGCACTGGACTGAGGTGCAGGGGTGTGGGTTGTGAGCTACGTTAGGAGGGGATTGTGATCTGGGCTAGGGGACTGCAGTTCCATTTCTGGGAGGAGATATGGGTATAGGAGAGGAGCAGGTTGAAGAAGGGAGGGGGCTGGGGCATCAGAGGTAAGTTCTGGCCAGAGGCAAGTTCTGGACAGAAGATTTATCTGGGTGACTCCTGATGAGCAACTCAGCACTTTCTGAAGCAACCTCCCTGAATGCTCCGCCCCCGCACAGACTGCAGCCATGTGCTCTGTGAATAACTATGAGCCCCAGAGGGGCAGGAGTGTGGTGCTTTGTGGCTGGCTGGCTGTTCAAACAGGCAGCTCCCATTGGCCAGTGTCTGGCCAGAAACTGGCCAATGGGATTGTGCTGGGGGCGGGAGCAGCATCTGAAGCCTTCTCCCCTTGCCCTATGGCCTTATAGTTAGTTTTTTAGAGAGAAACTGCTCCGTAGCTGCTTTTCTGAGAGGTGGGTGGGGTGAGGCAAGCAGTGTTTGCAGGCTGCATCTGGTGGCATGGCAGGATATTCAGGGCAGTTATTTGTCAAATCAAACATATTGGTTTATAACTAAATGAGCCATTGTTGAAATGAGCCTAGAATTGAATTTTTTTTTTTTTGTACCAAGGAAGCAAAACTATAAACATTTGCATATATTTATAACACATGATTTATCCAAGCAAACACATTAGCTTAGTATTTTCAGATGAATAATTACTTATAGTTTATGACAGTTTCTCTCAAGGTGGGCTGTGGAGTCTTCAGATAAACAAAACAGAGAGACCTGTTAGCAGCTTTCTCAAAGTGGGCCCATGGCACACTTTGGGAAACACTGGTTTATTAGAAAACGGAGAATGACTTACTGATTTATTAGATATTAACTTTTGACTCCTGATTTGAGTCGTTACATTAAGATAGTAACTGAAGTTTAATTAAACACATGAATTTGAGTTTAAAACTTACTTTGATTAAACCATCTTAAATGTTTTGGATACATAAACGTCTCATCCAAATGTGTTCTATGTTTACAACTAAGTGATTTACTAAACAAAGTGATAAACTGTATTAAGTGAATTAAACTTATTATTTTCTTGTAAGCCTGGGGATATTTTTCAAATATGCCTAAATGAAAGTGACTGAAGTTTATGTACCTACTCACCTAAGTCTCTTGAAAATGACAGTCTCCAAAGTTACATAGGCTTGACCTATTGTCATTTTTTTAAAAGCTTGACCTCTAAAGTTAGATGGTTTTTCCACTGATTCTTTCTTAAGAAAGAAAACTAGCCTTTAATTCCAAGTTTGATGCAGGCTCAGTATTCAGCATATTTATTTTTTATTTAAATGTTTTAGGAGATTATAATTATAAGCCTTAACATATTTAGTGTTAAAGTCTAATTTCATTTTAAAGAGGTTTACTTTTAGAAAGAAATTGTGTTCTAAATAATAAAACTAAAAGATCAAATTTAAACTTAAAAATTTGATGTTTAATTTTGATCCACCCTATATTTTGGCAAAGGTGTAAGGCAAGTACTGTAGATATTTGTTTTATTGTGCTTAAGTATATTGATAATGTATTTCTTTGTTGCCATGGGGAAAATAAAGTCCTTTTTAAAGGAAGAACAAATGTTGGTGATTTGACTTAATCCAACCAAACCATAAAATGAGCAGTTAAGGTACCATTTATGTCCTCCTGACCTCATGTTGCTTATATGGTTTATATTAAAAGTCTTTGCCAATGGGTGGCGATTTGCAGTTTGCTCTAATTCTGAAGTTGTCAGCCAAGTTTTATCCTTGGCAGTTAATTTTGTGGCTTTTGATAGTTTAAAACTAATTTTTGTGCTATTATTTTTAAAACTGTTTGACAGTGCTGTATATCTTACACGAATTCTAAAGGGAGAAATTAGGGATGTTAAAATGCATTTCTTTGTAACTATGTAACACTGAACACTTCAATGATTACAAATTTACACAAGTGGGGGAGGTGGCTCCACAGGAGCCAGTAACTTGAGGGGATCGCTCCCGCGCTGCTGCCTCTGATAGAGAGGCAGTAGCATGGGTGGAAGGAGGGCAGGTTGGAGCACTGACCAGTAGTCAGCTCCGGCTCTGGGTTGCAAGTGCAGGACCATGAGCAATGGCTCTTGCCTGCGCCCATCCCATCCCTGTCATAGGGAGGGCTTTCATGTAACCGTGAGGCATAACTGATGAACCCAGGCTCATTGGTTAACCGTTTAAATGAATTCACTAACACATCCCTAGCAGAAATTATTTAAATGTATTGGTCATTTTAGGGGAAAGATTTTATTATTAATGTAACTTGAAAAAATCATCAACAGTGTACTTAATATGGTAACATTAATGCTGTGTATGGAAAGAGAAACCTAAAAAGTGTACTGTTGACAGAATTACCAATGTACTTAGAAGTGCATCATTACTTCCTAAGCAGCATTAGGTCCTGCTCCTGCTCTGAACTCCATTATGGAGAGTCTTCATTGAAGTCAATGGGATCCGTGCTAAAAGATTTCAGGATTGGAGCCTTTAGTGTATTAACTGTTGAAGTTTCATCTTGTTGCCTTCTAAGTTGAGATTTGAAGCAATATTTTAAATGTTCAATGTTTTCCATTGCAAACTGTTGTAAAATCATCATTATTCCTATATTTGTTTCTGCAGTTGTGTGTATAAGTGTGTATGCCAGCAGCATTCGGAACAGATGTATAGTGACCTAATAAAAAAGATAACTAACCACTTAGAGAGAGTCTCAAAGGAGCTGCAGGTAAGAAGCTGCACAATCTAATTTTGTTATTTTCCTGGGATCTACCAATGTATTGGAACTAACATATGGAAGGGGTTGCTGTCACTAGACTAATGCCTGCAGTTCAGTAAATTGATACATAATTAATACTCAGATTTAGGCAATAACAAACATGTAGGAAAGGTTAGATTTACAGCATTGGTTTATATTGGTTCATATTTAGTAAGTTGTCATTGCCAGGGCTTGACAAATTAGTCAGTCTATTCGCCCAGGGAGAGTAGATTTTAAGCTGGCATGAAGCCGGCACGGCGCCGCAGCGCAATCAGCTCATGCTCAGTGTGGTCTGCGCACGTGTAGCGTGCCAAACCGCACAGCTGGCAAGTGGGGCTCGCCGCCGCTTGTCAAGCCCCGGTCATTGCAAGCTTTGATAGTGGGGGATCTGAATTCAGTGCAAACCATGTAAGTGCATCAAACAGGCAGGATCTAGCCCATGTGAGAGAGGTACTTGACTCAGCTTTGCTAATCGAAAGCACACAAGTTCATTTTCAACCAGTGTATATCATAAATTGTAGACAACTGCATCTTTGGGGAGGGGGGAGGAACCTTGGTGAGTTATGTATGAAATGGTAAAAAAACAGGTATAAATTGTATGCTGTTGAATATGATTTCTCCGAGTTAGACACGTGCATTTTTCTTAACCATCCCTAGATGTCAGTGGTTTACAACAATTTTAATACAGTTTGTATGTTCATATCATACTCTGCTTTTCTGATATTTGTACAGTGTCTTCCATCCATTTATTTTGTGTATTGTGTCAATTAGAATTTCTAATATGGAAATTTTAATGTAGCATTCTTCAACTAGTCATCAGTTGGTCAACTGGAAGTCTAGGGCATTCTGAAAGTTTTGAGGAAGCAGCTTGAAAATGGGAAACGATAGCTGTACAGCCTCTTCTCGACTTACAAAATGGTTACGGGCCAAGCAATTGGTCATAACTCGGTTTGTTTGTAAGTCGGACCCCATAGAGTTACACGCGACCACGCTGTTCATAAGTGCGGATCGCGTTTGTAACTCGGGGTCTGCCATTTACAACAGCTTTAGTCATAACTGCGAATGGTCGTAAGTCGACTGTTCGCAACTCAGGGAGCAGCTGTACTTCTATTGCTATACTGTAGGTATACTTTTGCCAGGATAAGCAAGAGAACAATTTTTGTAGTTTCTGTCTTTGCAACTACTTGCTTGTTTACAATGAACACATGACAGGTGATAGAATTATAATGGCATGGTATAATGACATGATATTTGACTTAAGCTACAATATTTTGTTTCATATGCAACACATGATAGAATTTGTAATGTGAGGGATCTATGCACATGCACATAGTCTTGTTTCCTACAAGAAATTTCTGTAGAACAAAGAATGGCCTTGTTGGATCAGATGGGTGGTCTCTCTTGCTTAGTGTTTTGTCTTCTGCTGGTGTCCAGTGCCAGTTAGGGATGTGAAGGACTAGTCGACTATGGGATCAGCAAAAGAGGCAGGCGCAGGAGAGATGAGGGGGTACTTCAACGCAGCAGCGCCACATAGAGCCTGGGGGCCAGATCCCAGGCTCCATGCAGTGCTGCTGCTTTGAAATGCTTTGTGCAGCCCAGGGCCCGCTGGGGTGTCCCCTGGCTGCATGGGCATTTCAAAGCGGCAGCGCTGCATGGAGCCCGTGATCAGCTGGAGACTTCCCCCACGGATCCTGGGCTCTGTGCAGTGCTGTCTCTTTGAAACGCTACGTGATGCTGGGCTCCCCGTGGCATTTAAAAGCCGCAGCATTGCATGGAGCCTGAGGTCAGCGGAGGAGTCCCCAACTGATCCCGGGCTCCACAGGGTGCTGATGCTTTGAAATGCAGTGAGGGGCTCCCCACGGCGTTTCAAAGCTGCAGCACTGCAGGGAGCCCAGGGTCAGCGGGGGTGTCCAGCTGACCCCGGGTTCCACATGGCGCTTTTGCCGTGGAGGTGCCCTATTGACTAATGGAATAGCCAATTACTCACAATTTAACATCCCTAGTACCAGTTGCTTTAGTGAGAATGAAAGAACTGGCCAATTATCAAATGATCTATTCCCTTCCTTCTAGTCCCACTTGTGGTAGAAAAACTCATTGGCAATAATCCTAGTAGGCAGTTGTGTCCATGTCTACCAAGCCATACTTGTACACTGGCATTTTGGAGAATGTAAATATATTTTGCCGAAGCATTTCATTCTTTTCTTTATGTATTCATAATCAGGGAGGCAGAACAATTTGATATTTTAATCATGTTTTTTTATTTTCACAATTAAGCTCCACCAGTTTATAATAGTTTTCAAAATGCTATCTTTCTGCTCTGTAATCTAGAACTACATGTTCAGTAAGTGATCAAGAACCAATGTAAAGATGTATTGTAAAATAAAACTGAGCATCTTGGTTTCTTTTGAGGACAACAGTCTTGTGTGCTTTCAGCTATTGTTATGCATTCCAAAATACTAATTGCAAAACTGACACTTCTGCTGTTGACCCTAACCTCTCATTTAACTGAAAAAAATCATTGCCAGTGTCTTATTTTGGTGTAGTTTCAAACATGAAGGAACTGACTTAAACTAAAACAATGTAATCCATCTTTAAACTGTTTTAAGAGTGTTCATGCAGGAATTTGCACAAAGTATAACTAAATCCACTTTTAAAAAAGGCATTCATCTTAAACCACCGCAACTCTGCATTCTGATAGGGTCTTAAGTCAGAGGTGGGCAATAATTTTTGATGGAGTGGGCACTCCAAGAATTTAAGTGATCAAGGAGTGCACACTCCCATGATAATGGAGGAGATGTGGAGTCTCGGATGGAGGTTTGGTGCCAAAAGGAGACTGGAGTAAGGTTTTGGGGTGCAGGAGAGAGTATGGGATCTAGGAGGGAGTTTGGATGACGGAGGGGGTTGTGACCAGGGACAGGCGACTGGGGTGCAGGAAGAGGTGCAGGATCTGGGAGGGGGTATGGCTGCAAAAGAGGATTCGGACAGAGCGGTATGGGGGGTGCAGAGTCTGGGAAGGGGTTGTGACCTGGGGCGGGGGTGCAGGGATTTGGGTTGTGATTTGGGGCAGGGTCTGGGATGGGTTATGGGTGCGGGAGAAGATTCTGACCTGCAGAAGGGGTGCAAGAGGGAATGTAGGGTTTGGACGGGGTTGTGACCTAGGGTACAGGTGCAAGGGGGATGCAGGGATTTGGGTTGACTGAGGACAGGGGATTGGGGTGCAGGGTCTGGGAGGGATTATGTGTGTAGGAGTGGGGGTGCAGAGGGTTTGGGTTATGTGAGGTAGGGATGCAGGGATAGGGGCAGAGGGTTGGTGGAGGGAGGGGCTGGGGTGCCAGAGGCAGGCTCTGGCTGGAAGATGCTTACCTAGATGGCTCCTGGCAAGCAGCCCAGCAGGTTCCTCAGCTAGGCTTTCTGCCTGCTCCACCCATGCATGTGCTCAGAACAGCTTGTTGCAGAGGCGGTGTGTGCGTCTCTGAATGTTGTTAGCCTGGGAGGAGGGGACCTTTGTGCACTGCCTGTCCTTGTGTGAGGAGTGAGGGCAGCATGAGAATCCTCTTCACCCCCTCCCTTGGGCTTACAGCACTCAGAGAAGCACCCATGGTCTCTGTAGCCAGCTGCTCTGAGCAATATATAGGGGCAGGGCAGGCAGGGGGCCTGGCTTGAGGATCTTATGGGGCTTGGGCCGAATTCAGTGGCTTAGTGGGCCAGATCTGGCCCGTGGGCCATATTTTGCCCACCCCGTCTTAAGTGCTAGATTCTTTGTCAGGTATCTATCACTAAACCTGTCTGGGAAACCCCTAACACACCACAAATATTATATGCATAATTAAAAATGATGACTGTTTAACTCTCAATGTCATGAAAGGTAGTATTCATACATATATCTCTAGCTTTAACTTCAGTGGATAGGGTTACCTGTAGTTAATCTTGTGCATAAAAGGTTTCATGCTATAAAATGAAGGTGGCGTGAGTGTGAAAAGATTGTAACTCATACAGCTTGAGGTGATATTGAACTATTTGCACTGTGGGTCCAATTGTACAAGTTTTCTTCAGGTGAACTCTCACTAAATTCATGAGAGCTTTGCTCACTAAAAAAGCTAGCAAGATTGGACTTTCAAAGTGGTTTCAATAAGCAGAGGATTTTGTGCTCCAAGACTGTAGTGGGTTCCCTGTCTTAGTACTGTACAGAGATTTTGCCTGCATCTGCCAATTTCAGCTATCTCCTTCAGTTTGCTTGCTGTAATCTGCATTAGCACTTGAATTACTCCAAAAGGCTGTTTTGCAAAGCAAGTTAGACTGTACAATTCAACTGTTAGGTGGGTTTCAGTGGAACACTGGGTCCAGAACAGACTCCTCATGAAAGGGTCACTGGAACACTTATTGAAGTAAATGGGGGTAAAAAAACACCAAGGGATTTTAATTGGAGCTCGCTTCTTACCACAGTGCAGGTCAAAGCCTGAGATGCTAACTAGTAGTGGGTACCAGATATGAGAGTGGGACAGGAATTGGCGTGGCATTTATGAAGGGAGAGATGGTAAAGGGTTTTTGTAGTTGCTGCATAGCATGTAAATATGTTGTTCTAAAATACTAAGTAAGATGGTTATGTCTTACAGTAGCCTCAATTTATGGCGATTTTTTGTTGTTGTTGTCTGCCAGTCTGACACCAAACCCTCTGCTTTTTCAGTTGGGCTTGGAACTAGATGTAGCAGACTCTGGCAAATGAGTCCTGGAGGAATACAAGGATGTAAAGAAATTGGTCAGGAATATATTTGCTTTTGCAACTAGATTTGAGCAACTTCACACACAACTAGGAACAAAGCAGGGGCAGGGGAGGGGAAAAATGTATACATTGGCATAAGCATGGGACAAAGGACTACCCATTTAAAGGAAGTGAGATTCATTAAAGATAAAACTGATGTGTTGACTGATGGTAGTTGCATAAAGATAAATGGAAAAGTATTATGAACAGC